TCTCTCTCTCTCTCTCTCTCTCTCTCTCTCTCTCTCTCTCTCTCTCTCTCTCTCTCTCTCTCTCTGTGTGTGTGTGTGTGTGTGTGTGTGTGAACAGAATGCGCAGTCATTATATCTGTTTGCTATCATTCTCCATCAACAACAGTTCTACGTGACCACGTTTTTTATTTTTTATTTTTAATATGATATAGTTCTGGGTGACACGCATGTATCGAGATATGGTCCAAATTCTAGGCTACCAGCCGGGCCGCCCGGGTGACCTTGATTTCCCGGGCGGACCGGCCGTGCAAGGTCCATGGAAGGTCCCAGCAAAAAAAAAAAACCAAAAAAACCAAAAAAAAAGAACCGAGAGGTAATTGTTGATCACATTCGTTATCACATGTATCGCAAACACACAGCATGCAAGTGGGAGAATCAAATGTTTTTTTTTTTTTCTTTTTCCAATGAATCAAACTTTTTAAACTGACGAGAAAAGAAAATTAATGCACACACTCGATTGGGACTTCTTTCTGGACTTTTTTTTCTTCAATGAATCAGATATTAACTTATTAAACTGACCAGAAAAGAAAATTAATGCCACACTCGACCAGCAAAGAAAATTAGCCCTAAGGCCGAGAAAGGACTGTTTTCTGGATCGAAGGAAGGACAGACAAGAAGAACGCACCAATAAAATATAAGCCACCCACCCAGCCAGCCACATCATCGGGACTTCTTCCGGGGATGCCTGACCTCAGCAGAGGAGTCCTGGCCGTTATCGAGAATAATACTGCGATCACTTCCCGGAGCGTGCTTCTGCTGATGTTCCTGATGCTGCTGCTGCTGGAGGACAGACATCAGGCAGTTGATGATTTCACAAAAAGGCAACACCCCAATTTTTAATTTATTTATTAAATTATTTATTTATTTATTTTTAATCCAAAGATTTTAGATGTTTGCAAGAAAGAAAAAAAAGGAAGAAAAGAAAGAATGAAAGAATTAGAGAGACAGACAGTCCCAGGTGCGCGTCAAGGCAACTGCTATCCTTTGCGTTTGCATGTTCGTTCTTTTGTTGACGTACTCGTTCGTTCGTTCGCTCGTTCGCTCGTTCGCTCGTTCGTTCGTTCGTTCGTTCGATCGATCGATCGATCAGTCGTTCGATCGATCGGTCACAAACTTCCACTGCAGAAATCGTTCATGTCCCTCGGTTCTTGGTGCTCCAGGGATAAAAATGAAATTTGGCAAATGTAATGAAGGGACGAAATTGGCAAAAATAGGCAAATTCAATGATCTATCTCCAGTGTCATTCAGGACATCCGTCAACAATGCAAGGATACAGAGAAAGGTAATTAGTAATTACTCGTTAGCAAATGACCCCTTTGAAGAGTTTACAATTTTCGAGTCACGCAATCTCTGCGTGTAGATTCAATTCCTTCAGCATGCTTGTGTGTTGCGTACTACTGCTGATATCAGCACTACACTGAGTCGGCTCTCGCTCTCATATCTAAACCAATCAGGGATAAGGTGGGGCTGTCGTACACAATGTAGAAATCGAGAAAAACAGGGGAACAAAAAAAAGGTATCCAGAAAGGTCTAGGCATTGTAGGCAAGGATTCATGGAAAAATTCACCTAAAAAAAAAAAAAAAAAAAAAAAAAAAAAGAGCATCAACGTAACCATGAGTTATCAACAGAGTTAATGCTGGAAGCCACTGTGCTTTCCACAGTTTTGCTGACTTGTAGTGCTCTCAACTTCTAGTGTTCTCAACTTCTCTCCGTTTTTTTTTTTTTTTTTTTTGTTGAAAACCGAGTTAAGGCATGCTCGGGGTATCAGATGAGTACTTCCACAGCCTCGCTCCGACTCAAACCGCATGGTGGCAGCACATGGACTCGAACGGGCACCCTTGGCGAGTCGGAGGCTGTGGAAGCCAAGCATCGTAACCACGAGATTGCGAAAGGACAAAGAAATAAATTATTTCAGAAAAAAACATGGCGCAGAGAAGTCCACATGACAGGACACGGAATCACGGATTCTTGACATAAAAAAATATAAACGAGAAATTAATAATTGCCATGGAGAAAATTTAAGCAAACCCACTGTAGATACTATCCCTGAGCTCAATGAACCTAATACTACCTTCTTCCCCTGAATACAACGCACTGTCATTGTAGCTGCATTTGGCATATCTTTCAGTCTAAATGCAGCTATCAGGACCGTACGGTTGTATTCGGGGGAAGAAGGCAGCTGATAGATAGTTTCACACAGGAGGGAATGCACAGAGGAGGCCAACCAACCAACCAACCAACCTAACCCAACCCAACCCAACCCAACCCAACCCAACCCAACCCAACCCAACAAATAACCAACCAAACAAACAAAATAACAAACAATGGAAAAAGAACAGAGAAAAACAATGGAAAAAAAAAAAGAAAAAAAAAAGAAAAGAAAAAAACAATGGAAAAAGGCAAAAAGCACAGAAAAAGCAGCGGAAAAACATCTGAAGAAGTATTGCAAGAAAACAGAACACACCAACAAGCCTAGCTCAGTTGGTACACACATGACATTATGCTGAAATATAGACCTCAGTTCGAGATCCCATCCCTGTGAATGATGATTCTTTAGAGTTTATATCATAGTTGCGGCGCACCAGAGCGCAGTGCGGTGCGGGGTGCGCACTGCGCTGTGCGCTGGAACTACAGCGCGCGCACTGTGCGCCGTGCGCAGTACACAGTACGCAGTACGCAGTGCTGTCCGCTGTGCGCGGAGCACGATA